TCTTTCATTAAGGTGGCTTCTCACAATAATAAAAAACTCAAATTTCATTGCTAAACTTCAGTGAATTAGCTATAGGCCTACTGGGGTATTTGTAGAGGTCTGAATCCCTCTTTATTTGAGAGAGTGTAGGCTGTAAGTTATCTCTACTTTCCTAATTTACCTAGATCTTCCAAATTAGCTTACCATTTCCTTCATAGCTTTAGGAAACTAGTCACCTAAAAAGCATGTGAAAACGTTTTATAATCCTTGAAACAAAATTAAGTAACTAACTTCTAATACCAGAGGCTCAATCTTCTAGGAGGTTGATCTTGTTAAAAGATTGCCAAGTTTCCCTCCCGTAGGGTTTATAGAGCTGGGAAGATAGAAAGCTAGGATTCATTAATGGAAAGAAAGATAACCCAACACACTTAATCAAATAAAGTTCACTACAGATTTTCTAGTAATGTTTCAACTAGAGCATGAAGCCCATGTGAGTTACATAAAACCTCCAAAGATTAGGATCATAGATCTTGAAGAAGTCTTCAAGCTAAAATTTGGAACATCCGGAACAAAAATCCAAGGGAAAATTTTTTTAACTTTGAAAGGTACTCTAATTCATTTAGAAATTTGTATGATAAAAACATTTACTTTTGATGCAAGGAGGTCACAATCATCATTAACTGTTAGGTTTGAAATATGGTGGTTGAGGATGTATCTTTGTTTAGCACAAAGTTCAAAATAAAATTTCTCGAATGTTAATGCAAGTCTTTCATGTTGACCCCTCTTTTGATACGGAAATGCTCCATAAGAAAATTTTACAAAAAATATTATTATACATTCGTGATTTCAGTGGCGATCACGACATGGCTGCTCCATATATTGGTACCTTGGAATAGATAAAAAAATTGAATTACACAGAGTTGGAAAGCTGGAGGCCATGGTTTGTGGGGGACCAAATAGCAAGGTATGAATTCATTTCTTGCAAAAGTAGTATCATGGTAAATAGGCACATTCATGGCATATTGCACACATTAAATAAATTTGGGAGAGCCTGCTGAGTCCCCTACCCCAACTATTATTTCTAATTGAAATATTTCTTGGGTAAAATATTTAGAGAAGATCAGAAGATAGAAGCAAGCCATCTCTCTTTCTCTCTTTATGTAGAAAACCCTAAAACCCTACTCTATAAATTTTGACCATAAATTTCCCTAAGATTTATTGCTCCAGGGCAATAACAATATAGGTAGTAATTATAATCTCAAGAAATGAATTTTAATTTTCGGTGAGATTCTCTCAACAATAATTTTCTCCTACTATCCAAAATGGGTTCCTAAATTATCTTTAATACCCCTATGCTCAAAATAAGAACTATTCAAATAAGGAGTACGTAAATAGTCAACATTTTGTGAGTAGAATTGGAAGTGAAGGGAAGATGAAGAAATAAAAAAAAATAAAAGATAAAAGTAAATGAGGAGTATATACCATCTCTCAGGGTCTGTAAGGGAGTCCACCCCAAAAACATCTCTTCACAAGATCCTAAAATCAGTTCTTCTTATCTTCACACGTTTTTTTCCTAATCTAATAGTTATATATTTATAAATGAAAACAATTATAAAGCCTAACTTTTTTCCTAAGAATTCTTAACCACTATCAAATCCTAGCCCTTCATCTTAAAAAAATATACTTCCAATACAATCCCACAAATCTCTACAACTAAAATAATAAAAATAACCCTAATGAAAACTAGAACCTCAACCCTAAAGTGTAGAAAACAATAAAACAAACGTATTAAAAAAACTATAACATCATACTCTTGTGGTTGGAAGAAGCTCGATCTCAAGTTTTTTGAATGCATATCTTTTAGAGTCCTATTCAAAAGTTGGTGATAAAATCATACTATTTTCTTTGGTACTTTATCTTCTTTAATGAATCAATTAGTCAAACACTTGGTGTGCTATTTGCAGTAAGACTTTGGAATACAATTTAATCTTGATTTCTCCTTCAAGGTTAAAAGATGGTTTTCACACATTACTACTAGCATTTCTTCTTCTTCATAACTAGTTATCAAAATTTGTAGCACTTTTGGGTTGCCAGCATCTTTCATGCTGAGATTTACCTCTTCATGTTCTTTTTCTTCCTATTGGAATCTATTAAGCTGGTCTTGTAACACTTGCTGCATTATTTTGCCAAGGCCTTATATCAGGTCATTTTTGGCTTTCTCAATTATTTGATCCACATGCTCAATAACTGGACCAGAAATTGTTTGTTACGGCATCATGGTATATGGATCTCAAGGATTGGATACTAACTGATGTAAGGAAGATTGATGGAAGATGAAAAAGAAATAAATAAAATAAAAATAAAAATAGATAATGAGATATTATACTCTCTCTCTCAGCCGGCAAGGGAGTCGACCCAAAAAGATCTCTTGACAAGATCCCAATATCAACTCTTCTTCTCTTCACTATTTTTTTTTTCCTGTCCAATAGTTATATATTTATAAAAGAAAACAATCGTAAAGCCTAACTTGTTCTCTAAAAAGCCCTAAAAATTAGCCCTTCATATTAAAAAAATAAATTTTCAATGCTAACCTTCAAATCTCTACAACTAAAAGAACAAAAAACCCTAAAGAAAACTAAAAACTCAAAAATATTAAAAAGACCCATTACATCAAGAGTTTTTCATCATCATTACTAGAATAGTGTACTGTAGGAAAACCACACACATACATAAGATCACAGGTCAAAATTTCGTAAATAAACTTATCTATGAGGATCTGTTTGACCCAGAATTTGGTATATATACTTTATGGAACCCGCTAAAAAAACTCAAAAAAATAAAAATACAAAAAAATTGAAAATGGACTTCTTTAGGAGATATAAAATTTGATGGATGATAGTTGTCTATTTTGTATCTAGCTCTTTAAGAATTCAAAAGCAATCTTATTATTTTTAAATTATTCATCTAGCATTGATAAGAACATACGCAAAACATTGGGACGCATAAATCGCTTAAAGCCACAATCTGACTGTGTTTCTTTCCTGCAATTGTCGGCCATTTTCTTTCTCTACAGGAAGGCTATTTCGTTCATGAGAGAGAAAGAGAGCGAATGTGTTGGATTTTGATCTAGAAGCATATGGGAGCTGATTATCTATCTTTTGAATTGCAAGTATACGGTTCAATATGAGCATAATTTGCTATTTGCTACATTCAAGGTATGAAAGATACATGAGAAAACCAGTTTTCTTTAGTACATTAGAAGGCGAATAGAAAACTATTTGGAAAAAATTTATGTAAGTAAAGTTGCACCTCAAAAATCTATTGGTAAAGGTTGTTTTAATGTTGAAAAACCCTCTAATTGATCATTCAACATCTAGATGTATGAATATGAAAAAAGAGAAGAACATGTCCTACAAGTGGTGCATCTTCCAACACATTTTCATGACCGTCCATTTTTAAGATTTTCATATACTTATAGATCTACTTGATTTTAATCGTTTTTGGAGTTTAAAATTTTATAATTAGAGATGAAAATAGATTTTCAGATAATCCTAATAATTTTTTACTCCAAAATTACATGTTATGATAAAATTTGAAGGTGCACGTTAATTGGATTGTTTAAGGTTGCAACCTTATATAAACCGCATCCAAAATATTTTGTCCAATATCATATATTTTCAAGCAAAAAATGAGCTACCACAGCTTAACAGGGAGCTGGGCATACTGTTGCGGAATTCACACCTCGCGAAGCACTAGTAGCCTTCAAACAATGGATTGATGGTGATGAGAACCTCTAAATAAAGTCCCTCATTCTACTCCATTTGGGCTGGTAATTGTAAGCTTTCTGCTGGTTTTATAAATGTGGATAAACATTACATGATAAAACTTCTCCACATTACATGATAAAACTTTATTATCTCAATAGTTCTTTTGTTTTTTTTTTTTGGACAACATTACTTAACTTTATTAATCAATCATGGAATACAACATTTCAAGAGATGAGAACATCAGAAATCACAGTAGAGTGCATCGAGGCACTTCTCTTTGCTAGATCATCCATAATGTCGTTTGCCTTCCCGTACATACTGAAAAGCAACCTGGAAACCGGTACACAAATGTTCATACATTTTCTTCTCTATCTCCACAGTGTGTTAAATATCATGAAATTTGACTCCTTCTTAAGACACAGTCCTCCTAGTCGACTGTGTGAAGCAAATTATTTGAACGTGGGAGGTGCATGCAACCATGAGTCTTTGGAAATTTCTTGGGAAAATTATGTCCATACCATGGGACTTTTGTGGTGGTAGGGTATAGTCCATTTTTTCCATATTTCTTACAATTTTTATTTTTCATTTTTATTTTTATTTATTTTTGGTCTATTAGGCTGTCTGAAGGGGTTAGAGGTATATTAGGGATCTTCGGAACATCGGGCTCCCTAAACTTCACTTTTGTGCTGGCCGATATTGTTAATATTGGAGCGCTCTAGAGATTGAATTTGTTTTTCAAGTTTAGAGCGGTCCGATATTTGAGCCATTGGACTTGATTTTTGTAGCATCTGTCTCTTGCTATTGTCGGGAACATCGAACCGCTCACTATAAGTGTGTTACATAATCGAAACATCGGACTGACTCTGAACATACCTCCAAGCTAATAAAAAGCCTTACAAACTAAAATATAGAAAAATTATAAAGTACTACTGTCTGGAACATCGGACGCTCACGATATGTGTGTTATGTAATCGAAACATTGGACTGACTCCTAACATACCTCTAAGCTGATAAACAGCCTTACAAACCAAAAAAATAGAAAATAAAAAAAAGGCAGGTTGATGTTGCAAGCATTGTAGGCAAAGTTGACAAAAATATGAGAAAATAGGACCTCCGTGTAAAGTATAGGAAAAATTTGACTATACCATAATACCACAAAAATGATACAGCATGGCATAATTTTTGCAAATTTTTAGTGGTTAGTCCAACAAATTCGTCAAACATGCTAAGTTCGAATGCTGAGGAGAGAGTAACATGTTCATCCCCAATGAATTCGTGAACCAATGGTACTAAGCTTAGAAGAGACTACTCATTCAATACGTCACGGCTGAACCCAATTGTAGCTAGTGTAATAGGCTTCCCAAATATGGAAGGTAGATAGTATTGGCAGGTCGCCAGATCGCACAGATAGGGGTGTTAACATGCCGGGCGGGACGCATGGGCTTTCAAGTGCTGGCCCGCTCAGGCTGGGTCCTATTCGGCCCGGGCTAATTTGGACCAAGCGTGGTTAGGCTAGGAGTATGTTAGGATCGGAATCTGGCTAATCCCGACCCGGCCAAGAAAGGAGAGAAAATTTTGAATCACGAAAACGAGAGGACATAGTAATCATTGAAAGAAACATATTTTCTACATTTGAGAGAGAAAATTGCACTATCAAGAGAGATCGATGGTTTAGTCTATTTTAGATGGTGATATTTTAGCCCAAGAGGATCTTGAGTACAAGTATTTTCACTTTTGTGCTCTGCGTAAATAGTCAAGTGATAAGGATAGTGATAGAAGACCTAGATATGGGGAATGCCACTCTAGGGTTTTTGTGAGATTATTGATTTTGATATAAATCGTATTGAAAATCAGCAGGACGTAGATTGATATCTACCATCAATCTTCGATGCATACTTAGATGAAGAACAAGATCTTGTAGTATATCCAATCTATGATGATGATAAACATTTTGTGGTTGAATTGGTATTTAACAAAGAGAAAGATGAAGGACTCAAAGGAAAATTGATAGGTGAAGTTGTTAATTTAGTCGCTAATCTCAAAGATACACTTGTGGTGTGTTCTAGGGTTGAGTCTAGGCAAATTCAGCAATGTTACATGACTGAAGTGATGCAATTCAACAAATTTATATGATTATACAATAATCCTTTCCTCGAGGGTTTCTCAGTTCTAATTATGTTTTGATTAGTGAAGTAACCCAAGAGTCCCATGATCATAGTAACAATATTCAAGTTGAAGAATGTTGTCGAATTAATGCTAAATTCATCTTAGTACACTTCAAAACTCAAGGAAGACGAGGGGAGAATGACGGAAGAAAAAATCATTTTTATTTTTTTTCAACTTTAAATAATGTATATTATAGTTTTAGTTGTAGAGTTTATTTCTAAGTTTTTTTTAATTTTTTTAGGAATTCTAAGGTTTTTATATATTTTTTATTTATTTCATGAGTACTGTCACAAGTATTATTCATGGCAACTGTTCACAGGGGTAAACATGTCATTACGAATTTTAAGTTTAAATTAGGATATATGAGTCAAAGTATTATTTGTTTGGAAATTTTTTATACTTGAAACATTAAATTATAATATACAAGAGGAGTGTGGCGCATTAAGGGAGTCGTAATTCCAAATGATTTTTAAAATTTGAAAAAGAGAAAATATTAGGCTTTTGGACCCTAGCTTGAGGTATAGAAAAGAAAACTTAGATTTCTTTGAATTATGCTTGTGTTTGGTTTGTTTCTTGTTGATTTTATCTTCCCTCAAATTTCCTTGCATCACTAAAATAGGCAAGTAACTAGAAGCACCTGAACCTTGCCATTTCCTTTGTTTTTAATATTTGACTTACAAACCTAGATTTGTATTTATCGCATGCTTCTTAAGGAAAAATGAACATTAATGTTAGAAAGAAAATCATAGATTGAAAAAAGAAACTTTTTGTTTTTTTTGTTTTTATCAATTCTGAGCTCACTAACATGATGTGTGCATTTATAAGGCACAAAATTCATCAATTATGGGCTCACTAACATTATCATCTGTTCTTTTTGAGCTCTCTCGCACCTTTCATGCCCTAAAACATGGCTTTTATCATCTGTTCTTTTTGAGCTCTCTCGCACCTTTCATGC